TATATAAATATATATAAATATATATAAAGATATATAAATATATAAATATATAAATATATATAAAGCTTTATATAAATATATAAATTTATTTATATATTTTTTATTATTTTTAAACATAATTCATGTCATTTAAACTTTGCCCTTTAAAAATAATATGTAAAACATAAAGTAAATTAAGTCTTTAACAGTTTAAATATCTGAAGAGAGGGGAAGACTTCCAATAAAAAGTAAACAAAATGCTCAAATTATTAGTTTAAGAGATGATCAGTATTGACTCCCTAACACTAAAACCCAAAAATATTATCTACCCTACAATTACAAACAAGATAAAAATATGATTCTCTGGAAACTAAACGTAGCTTGATCATATTTCTCGGTGATAGTAAAGGTCAAAATATACACTGTCCTCGAGTTCAAATAACTTAAGTATTAGGAATTATTCTCCATCACTCATCTCTTTCTTATTTGACCAAATTTATTACCACAGAGAATCAATTAACCTACCCAAATCCTGCTACTAGCATATCACAAAGAAAACTAGGTACAGGCTTCAGAACCGGGACTGGGACTCTCTCCCCAAGATTCCTTGTGGGTTTGCAGAACCCATGAAGATGTCATTATACCTCTTCCTGGGATAGTGCTGAAGTGAGGTCAGCCACCTGAAGTAGCGATTCATTTCTTACCTTGGGAGAGACAGCCTGGCTCAGTGAAGGAAAAAAGCTTTGGAATAAAACTAACTTAAGTTCAATCTGTGTGACCTTGGATATCTGACATCTGTAAGCCTTGCCTTTTTCATGTCTAAAAGAAAATCAAATGATATTTCATAGAATGTTGTGACCTTAAGAAGAGTTCTGGCTAGGGGCGCCTGGGTGGCGCAGTCGGTTAAGCGTCCGACTTCAGCCAGGTCGCGATCTCGCGGTCCGTGAGTTCGAGCCCCGTGTCGGGCTCTGGGCTGATGGCTCAGAGCCTGGAGCCTGTTTCCGATTCTGTGTCTCCCTCTCTCTGTCCCAAAAATAAAAAATCATAATTTGGAATTTTAGATTTTCCTCCCTCGCCCGTTCATGCTCTGTCTCTCTCTGTCCCAAAAATAAATAAACGTTGAAAAAAAAAAATTAAAAAAAAAAAAAAAAAAAAGAGTTCTGGCTATACTGTACAAACCCTTAGCACAGCATCTGACCCACTGTATAGGAATAAGAACTGAATAGCCTAAATGGCATTGTGGTTCCTAATTGTTTTCAAATCTCAGGTCAGCTTTTTTTTTTTTTTTCAAGATTTTTTTTTTATTGTTTAAAAGGAAACAAAAAGTAACATAAACTTAACCTCATTTGTTTCCTCATTTAGATAATTTACCTGTTTCTGGCATTGGTGAGCTCCTTTAGTTCATACAAGGCTCCAACAAATGAAGAGAATGGTGAAGAACAAAATCTCCAGAGTGCAATGGCAAGGATTAAGAAAGGAATAAACTACATGTTTCTTAAAATATCATGCAAAAAACAAAACATTTCAAAGGAGACAATGGACAATGTAAACAATGTGTATGTTAGAGAGCATATTTCTGACCCTACCCTTTCCGATTTAAGCAATACCCAAGATTTCTTCAAGGATAAGGAAAAAAGCAGTGGCACAGAGAAAAACACAATGACTGAAAATGAGAGTCAATCACTTATACCCAGTCCTAGTGTCTCAGAAACTGTACCAATTGCTTCAGGAGAATCTGATATAGAAAATCTGGATAATAAGGAGTTTCAGAGCAAGTCAGGTGATGGGAGCAGCAAAGAGGTAAGATGTTTTAATATCCTGATTACTTACTGTTGATTTATGGCATTTTGGTAAGAAAGTGAGTGGGTGTTGAAGTTGAGGAGAGTTAGAGTACACATTTGATCCTAGCTCTACACTCCTTGCTCCTGATTTTATGCTTCTGATGAAGTTAATTAACCATTGTAAGCTTCAGTTTCCTTGGTCTATAAATGCAGATAAAATTGTATCTATTTCTTAGGGAGGATAGGACTAAGAAAAATAGCTCAAAGGTGCACAGAACAGTGCCCAGTCTATAGTAAACACTTAGTAAACATTAGAAAATATAATTTTAAAAGTCTATAAATTTATAAGCAGGCAGTGTGGGGTGATGAAAACATACCAAAGAAACTTAAGTTTTCAAAATCGATGTGTATTATTAGAGAAATCATTAAACTCTCCTGGGTGTTATCATCTTTAAAACGTTAAATTGGACTACAGGATGGCTAAAATACTTTCTTATTGGCCAAAATTCTAGGATTCTCATCACTTTATTTGTGCAGCATATACTATAACATATATAATTAAGTTGGACTAAAAGAATAAAGAAAACCCACCAGTTTGAATTGTGAACAGTGTGTAGCTTTATCAACTCATGGACAAAGAAAACAAAACAAAAAAGCAACAGCAAAAACAACAAAATAACCCAACACATTTAAAGAAGGGTAGATATTGCTGTTAACTTAGCTTCTAAAATGTACACCCTACTGGAAACATTCTTACTGTCTTCATTTGCAAGCACCATGTCTTCCTAGGAGGTATGATTTAATAGAAAGCTACATCTACAGAGATCACATCTGTTTTGCAGGCTTCTTGCGTTGTACCTCAGTAGGGAATCATCTCAGATCACTCACAGGCACTGGGGAGGGGCAGAGAATGTCTCTTTCCAGATCCGCAGAAACGACTCTGGCATCATCTTGTCTCCCAGACCTCTTCCAGCTTGGCAACTGCTCTGCAGTAACTTCTCATATTGGCCTAATAGGAGTTGAATTGTAATTACTCAAAATCCTTCCGGCTCCTACTGAAGGCCTTTTTTTTTGTGTTAAAGAAACATTTTCACTCCTTAGCATGCCCAATATTTTGAGGTTCGTTTTCCTTTAACTAATACCATTTCTAGAAAACAGGGAAAACTGTTCTGCAGCTACACTTGCATATCTTCACTTATAACTTTGACTACCATCTATTTTTGGGTAAAAATGCTATTTATCACAGCACATTGTGTTGAAATGCTCCAGGAAACTTCTTGCCAATCTAATTAGTCTGGGATATGAAAATGTATAGGAAAGATGACACTAAATATGATTGTAAATGTTGAGGCTTCAGAAGTTGTAATGTATGCTGCCTAATTACTTAGTCCTACTGATTGATTAGCTACTCATAGATTTATTCACTTATCTGTACACTTATCTGTACATATTTTAGACATTTTCCAGATTATGCAACTCATGAGTACTTTAAGATGCTGATCTACCAAAAGCCAAAGAATAAAATATAAAAATCACATGTGATCTGATAATTCTGAGTTACATTCTTTTCTTTCTTTTGTATTTAAACTTTCAGCCATTGTTTAGTTACAACATAACTATATAAATTTTAGAAAAATAATGTCAAACTTTATATCAAGTTTTATAACTTTTTCCATAATGTAGCAATGTATCAGGGTCACTTTCTCATGCCATTAAGTCATCTTCTAATAAAATTATTTATACTTTTTAATCCCAATTGATTTATTTATAAAATTAGAATAAAATTATTCTAATTTCCAAAAGAGGTTTGGAAAATCACATCAAATAGTTTATGTAAAAATTCTAAAATAACATATAAATATAAGGTATATAATTTTCAATTATTGAATGCCTAAGAATTATATATTAACTTATTTGTTATTTACTCTCATATTGCTATAGCCTTTATTTCATCAGAAATAATGAAAATATGAGAACTGAAATAATAAAAGTGATTTGTTTAAGAGTAATATCCTGATGGATATATATTTTTAGTTGAGCACCAAATGTCTTATTGACAACTGACTATGTAAGATCTAAAGCAAATAAGGCTTCCTAATGATATTTTGTTGACACTTATTGTGCATAAGACCAAGAGGTAGGACAAAATATTTACAGTTTTCCTTTTGATATACTTTACTTAGACATTTCCTTATTTTTTAAGAAATAAGACTGTTTTTTCCCAAATGTTTTAATACATTTATCTTATTTTTTAAATTAGAAAACAATTGTGTATACTATTAACTTAGAATAGTGGTCATTTTAAAGGATGATGTGTTGCATATTTATTTTGAAATAAAGTAAAATAAAGCATTATGAGAAAATCATTTCAAATAAAAGCCATGCATGTCACACATGCATCATTACCACTTATACAAAGCCATGGCTACCTTATCGTATCCAGTCTTGACCTTCAGTCAAGAGCAGAGTGAGAAGCAATGTCAATCCTTGCAAATTGTCTGCATAGGGCTGGTACCGCTTTGCCAGGTCTATTCCTGACTCTTATTCCTTGTGCCATTTCTTCATTTCACTTCAAGATAACCTCACATCATTCCCATCCTATGATGGCATACACGAGAATGTCTGGACTCGATTTTACAATACCAACTAAATGCACTCTTGTCTACCCATCTTTAGCATCAAGGAGTAATTACTTCTGATGCTGCTCATCTAGCTGAAATGGCTTATATGGAATCTTGTAAACAACTTCAAGAGGGCTTTGGAACTCAAACCCTTTTGGATACTGGAGATAACCTATACACCTTTTAGGAGAATAGTGTTATGAACTAAATGTTAATTTTAATCTAAAAGTTATTTTAGCTTAAATGAATTTTTAATTAAATTTTTAAAACTTCAACTCACGGAGACATGTATCCTTTTAATGAAAATCATGAAATTAGCTTAAACAGTATTTTAAACCTGATAAAGTTCTTTTTGTATACAGTTTTTCTTATTTCTGAAAATAAAACAAGCCTGAACCATAGTGAGAAAGTTGAATCACAGCTTTTTTGGTGGGACTTTACTTTTCAGAAGGTAAAGCAATCTAGCTCGTCTGAATGCAGCACAGTGGATATTGCTATCTCCGAAGAAGAAACCGTCTGTGAACGTGAAAAGCCAAAGCAGCTTAAAAATGGTAAGAGAAAAATAAGTTCCTTTGATCATTATATTGAAAATAGACTAAATTTCTCAACATAACTAATGCCATTAGATATATTTTAATTTTAGAGAGTTTATTAACTAAGGAACACACACATACAAATATGTGTGTACAAGCACATGCACATGTGCCCAAAGGAATCCTCATAGAAACTTATAGGGAAAGTCAATAGAAAAGTCAACATTTGGAAAAGAGGGGCAGGATCTATTTCCTAGAAGTTTAATGCCGTAGTTAAGAGCACTGGGTCTGGAATCATACAGGCCTGACTTCAAATCCCAGGTCACGTGACCATTTACTACCTTTACTTACCCTCTTTCAGGCTCATTTCTTTTTTTTTTTTTTTTTTAATTTTTTTTTAACGTTTATTTATTTTTGAGACAGAGAGAGACAGAGCATGAACAGGGGAGGGTCAGAGAAAGGGAGACACAGAATCCGAAACAGGCTCCAGGCTCTGAGCTGTCAGCACAGAGCCCGACGCGGGGCTCGAACTCACGGACCGTGAGATCATGACCTGAGCCGAAGTCGGCCGCTCAACCGACTGAGCCACCCAGGCGCCCCTGGGCTCATTTCTTAATATGTAAAATGAGGATAATAATGAAACTTACCTCACAGGATTGGTAAAAAGATTAAATTAGTGTAGATGCATGTGTGTCCATGCATGGGTGTGTGCATGTGTGCGTGTGTGTGTATATTTTTATGCCTCTTGGAATAAAGTCAATATTCAAAATACTCACATGAAAACATCCTATATCTTTCATAGGAAAACATATCATGCAATGGTGATTTATTTTTATATTCCACATGAATCTTAAGAAATGTATAAGGCTTCAGTCAGCTGATTGACTCACTAGATATGTAACATACATTTGTTGATGACTTGTAATTCAAATTTCCTAGAAAGATTGACAAATATTTATAGGTTCTCTGCATTTGAAATCACTGGAAACCATCAACATGGTAACTGCTAAATGTTCAAATTCCTGTATTCAAAATAACCTGCTCTCAGTAGCTCAACTTCTAGAACTTGTATCATTCAAGGCAAAGGAGGAAAAATTTCCTATATTTTTTGACCAAAAATGTATGAATTGACAGTAGGTAAAATTCTAAAATGAAAGGTGTTGATTTTAAATTCCACCCACCTCTATTTCTTCATGTTCTCCCCTGTTAAACAGAGTCTTCTCTATCTTGGGATTTCTTTATGCTAACTCTCTTGACAGGAATGTAGAGTCCAATCCATGCATATGCCCCCTACCCACAAAGCACTCTGTAATCCAGGGGGCTCCTTCAATAAGTCAAAATCAAAATCACCATTCTCCTACCGCCTGAGACCTGACATCAATTTAACTGACGTAACTAATATTATACTTCTTATCAGTTCCTGAATACCTATGTACTTAAATGAGAATGCTTATTATACCACGTGAATCTTCAGGCTTTATACCAAAATGTGATATTTAGAAGATATTGTATGTGGGGGAGAGGAGCGATTTGAAGGATGGGGATAAATTCTATTCTCAGACTCTGTTCCACCAGGCTAGGGGATGTTCTAAGTCATCTCTGCCTTTCAAAATTTCTTCCTCTAGTGTTGTCCCACGTTAACTTTTTTTGTTTCCCTTCAATGACTGCAATGGTCACAGCATCAGGGGTGAAAATCAAATGTTCCTAAGTCAGAGATCACATGTGTTAGATTCCATAAGTAATCACCAAGGACTATGGTGGAAAGTTCAGGATGTCTATTTTTTCATGAATTTTCAAGATTTTTCTTCTTAGCAGTTTCATTCTTGACAGGTTATAGACGAAGATCTTCACCTGGCCAAATTAGTGGTGAATCCAAGAAAGGAAGAATTTGGCAGAACATAAGGAAAACCTGCCGCAAGATAGTGGAAAATGGTTGTTTTAAGTGTTTCATTGGCCTGGTCACTCTGCTCAGCACAGGTGCTCTGGTAAGTACGTGAGACTTTTATGGGGAAAAATGTATCTGAAGTCTGTTACTTGAAGCCACCATGCCAAATTAGTTTTCCCCAGATACTTATTATAGCAGTAAAGTTCATATTCTGTGATTTTACTTTTGGGAAACATACATTACAGTTTCTTAAAATCTGTATATGCCTCATTCAGTATTAAATAAATCAAACAATTTTGAAATATAAGAATGACAGTGGGAAACGTGAATGTGAGATACCTAATTCTTATTTTAATAAAGTTTCATGTATGAGACAAAGTTTAAGAATATGCACATACATACTTTTGTGCTGTGCTAGTACTTTGGTGCCTATTCAATTAGGAAAGAGAAGTACTATATACTTTTAATAACCTTTGAATCAAAAATACATATATTTTAATATTTATTCATTTTTGAGAGTGAGAGAAACAGAGCACGAATGGGGGAGGGGAAAAGAGAGAGGGAGACATAGAATCTGAAGCAGGCTCCAGGCTCTGAGCTGTCAGCCCAGAGCCCGACTCAGGCTCGAGCCCACGAACCGTGAGATCATGACCTGAGCCAAAATCGGACACTTAACCAACTGAGCCACCCAGACATCCTGCATTTATGAAGCATTTTGAGAGAAAGAGAGTAAATGAGCTGGGGAGGGGCAAGAGAGGGGCGGGGGGAGAGGATCTGAAGCAGGCTCTGCACTGAGAGCAGAGAGCCTGATGCGGAACTTGAACTTACAGACCGTGAGATCATGACCTGAGCTGAAGTCGGACTGTTAACTGACTGAGCCACCCAGGTGCCCTGAACCAAAAATATATTTACCCATTGACACAACAACCTTAATTCTAGGAAATTGTCCTACAAATATCTGAGCAAGTATGAAATGCATTTACAAGGCTCTTCAGTGAAGAATTCTTTGTATAGAAAAAGATTAAAAAGTAAAAATAGTCTACAATAGGTAACTGTTTAAATATGCTCTGATATAATCATCCAATGGGACACCGTGCAGCTATTTTGAAAATTCAAAAGCTGTATGCATGCTAATATTGCAAGTTATAGCAATGTGCAAAAAAAGAGAAAGATCTAGAATAAAGTGTATCTATTAGGTATCTATTAATATTCATGTTTCCCACTGTGATTCATAACTTTTGAAATTGTTTGATTTATTTGATATTGAATGAGGCATATGACATTTTACTTAGGAAATAAAGAAAAAATAGAATTTATATTATATTATTTTCCAGTGTTTGATTAAAGAGGATCAGAGAAGGATACATAAGAAATAGTTAATTGTGAGATACACAGAGCAAAAAGAATGGATTCATGGCTGGGAACCAGACTTTGTACTACATACAATTTTTAAAGTAAATTTTATATTGACATTTACCACATATTTACCACAAACCTAGAAATTATAAGTGTCTAACCTAAAGAATTTTCACCTGGGTGGCTCAGTCGGTTAAGTGCCTGACTTCCGCTTGGGTCATGATCTCACAATTCATGAGTTCGAGCCCTGTGTCAGGCTCTGTATTGACAGCTCAGAGCCTAGAATCTGCTTCAGATTCTGTGTTTCCCTCTCTTTCTGCCCCTCCCCCTTTCCCATTCTGTTCTCTCTCTGAAAAATAAATAAACATTAAAAAAAGTAAACAAGGATTAAAGTAATCCTATGTTAATAATGGTGTGATTCTTATAAATCTAATGTTAAATAAAAGTAACATTTTCTCACAAACCGTGAGATCATGACATGAGGTGAAGTCTGATGCTTAACTGACTGAACGACCCAGGTGCCCCGATCTTTGTTTACTTTTTGACCTTGAATGCACTTTAATACAAGCCTTCCTGACTTTGTTGGTACTTTATTGCCTTTTTTCAGTGCTGAGATAAAAACACTATGAAATTGCTTTCAGTGACATTATCAGACTTTGTATCCTCTACAGTAAAGTAAAGGTTGACCTATTAATCTGAGAAGCTTTGGAGAAATGATTATAGTTTTATTTCATATTCATGTGTTTCCACTGGTTTGCCTGATTATTTCTGCAGCAGAGCAATTTATTAGATATTTTATTATCTATTAGATATTTTATTGGGGCCACACTGAAATTACACATTAATTTATACGGACATAATATTTTTATAATATTGAGTCTTCCATCTAGGCAAAATGGCATATCTTTACATTATTTGGCGTGTTTTTATGTTCTATAGCAATTTTATAATTAAAAAAATATATATTTATTTACATTCAAGTTAATTAGCATACAGTGTAGTATTGGTTTCAAGAGTAGAACCCAGTGACTCATCACTTACATATAACACCAGTGCTCATCCCAGCAAGTGCCCTCCTTAATGCCCATCAGCCATTTAGCCCATCCTCCCCACCTCCCCTCCAGCAACCCTCAGTTCTCCATATTTAAGAGTCTCTTATGCTTTGCCTCCATCTCTGTTGTTACCTTATTTTTCCTGAAGACATATTTAAATTTTTTTTTAACGTTTATTTATTTTTTTGGGACAGAGAGAGACAGAGTATGAACAGGGGAGGGGCAGAGAGAGAGGGAGACACAGAATCAGAAACAGGCTCCAGGCTCTGAGCCATCAGCCCAGAGCCCGACGCGGGGCTCGAACTCACGGACCGCAAGATCGTGACCTGGCTGAAGTCGGACGCTTAACCGACTACACCACCCAGGCGCCCCCTGAAGACATATTTAAAAGAATTTCTACTCTCTTAGTAAATGCCACATATCTGCAAATTGGCTACATGGAATTAGAGATAAGAACCAGTTAGATGTGAGCAAAGGTTTTGCCTCTTATATTAAGTTTGATTAACTGATTCATGAGAAGAATTCTGGATCACTGTGGTGCCAAATTCAGTCTCTATAAAAAATTCTGGGACCAATTACTGATGTCTGCTATAGACATAGGATCAGAAAATGTTACTTATGGATTATGTGAATAAATCCAAACCAAGTGAACCAGCCCATGAAACTACAACCTATGACTTTGCTCACGATCTGTTTGCTAGAGATAGCATTTCATTCCTCTCTATGCGAAAAGATTTTTTAAAAAATTACATGTACACTAATCCTCAAATGTTTTACCCACAGGCTTTTGAAGATATATATATCGATCAGAGAAAGACTATTAAAATCTTATTAGAATATGCTGACATGATCTTCACTTACATCTTCATTCTGGAAATGCTTCTAAAGTGGATGGCATATGGTTTTAAAGCCTATTTCACTGATAGCTGGTATAAGCTAGACTTCATGGTTGTCATTGTACGTATTGCAAAGAAAAATTTTAAAGACTATTATTCAATTTTTTTCTTCTTTACTCTTACTCTCACTTAACTCTTTCCTTTACTTATATCTACCTTTTTCCTCTCTTTGTACATTTTTAGTCACCAAAATCCCCTATTTCTTCATTTGTAATACTTAACATTTGTCCTTTTCCTCTCAACCTAAAAATTTTAAAGTTCAATATTTCACCCCTAGATTATTCTAATGACCACGTATGAACCCACTACTAATGGGATAGACATCCTGAAATATTTAAATTCTGTTGGCTTGATGTTTAAATCATATATTCAAAACAGACGACTTACCATAACCTTCACCATTACCACTGTGATCCAAGCTACTGAAGATTCTCAGTTGGATTTCCAGTGCAGATCCCTGCCCCTGCCACTGCACACCTTCCTTCTAAGCTCCACGTAGCAACCACATACATGTTACTGCTGTAAAACAGAAGTCAGTCCAGGTCTCTTTTCTTCTTGAAACTCTCCAATAAGCATCTCATGTCGCTCCGAGTAAAAAGCTACATTCTCTGCCATCAAAGCCTACAAGTTTCTCCATGATCGGTCTTGTCTCCTATTACTTTCCGTTTCCATTATCCCAATTTATAGACTGCTCCACCTGCACTGACCTTCCTGAAGATCTCCCATATGCCGAGATTCCTTCCATCTTAGCGCCTTTGCAGTTATTTTTCCTTCCACCTGGAACTTTTGCTGGCTCACCTCATTTATGTCTACTCAAATAAGAATGCAGAAATTGGGTCTTTCCCCGCTACCGTATTTAAAACTGCAACTACTACAATGCTCCTTTTTCCTTTCTCTGCACTCTTCATCTCTATAGCACCTATTAATATTATATATTAATTGACATTCATTGTTTATTCATTGTGATTGTTTGTCTTCCCCTTTGAAAGGTTAGCTCCTTTGGGGAAGAAATGCTTTCCCAATGTGGTTCTCTTCTTATCCCTAATGCTTAGAGCAACTCATGTATCATAGTAGGTACTCAGTAATTTTTGTTGAATGAACAAATGGTTCCTATTCTATAAGCAATGATTGACTGAAGCTTCTCACTGTATAAATAATGACTTACAGTATCTGATCTCTGTCTTCTAAATAAATTATTGCAAATTAACCTTCTCCTCCAACAAAAATCACACTATATCTGCAACCCACCTTCCTGTTTCCTAGTCATTGTTCTTAGGTGTACACAACCCGTGACACTTACATAAATCATATGTTTACTCCAAAGCTCACTTTAAGGCCATCTCTTAGTATAGGATAAAAAAGAACAAATTTTTCATTTATGTTGCTTGAAAATACATAAAATAGGAAGGTACTATAAAAGTTGGTTGTAACTCTATCATCTTGCTCAATCTCTGTTAACATTTATTAACCCTGAATGATCTTTATGCATATGTTTACTTTAAGAAATCACCTTGGTATCTTTGTATACATTTTTATAATTTGTACTTAAACTTAACAATGTTCATATACTCTTTGATGCCTCTTCTCTGAAATACTATTTTGTATATTGTGTTAACCATATTTATATATGAATTCACATGTAAATATATTTCAAATTTTGTTTTTATGAATACATGATATACTATTACTGTATGGAAAATAATCATGAAATTGATTATTAATCTAATTTCAAACAAAAAATGGATGTAAATATTAACCCTTGATCATAAAGAATGTCAAATATACAAATTTTTTTATTTCAATAATATATATATTCCTACTACCAGAAAATGTTTTTGTTTTATCTTTATCTTTTTTAAAGTAACTTTAACACAAGGTTATTTTCTTATACTTTTCTTTAAGTCATTGTTAAGATATATTGAAATATATTTTACATCTTTGCATATTTCTTGGGAAGCTTTGACTGTTTATCATTTTTAAATAAGTGCAAAGTTTATTTTGCAGATTGTTTTGATTAAAGTTAAAATAAACCCTATTCACTCTTTTTTTTCTTAAATATGTTTAGGTGTTTTGTCTTAGCTTAATAGGCAAATCTCGGGAAGAATTCAAACCACTAATTTCTGTTAAATTCCTCCGGGCACTCAGAGTTCTATCTCAATTTGAAAGAATGAAGGTAAGAAAAAAGTGTCTAAACTAATATGTAGGTTTTTATTTAGGATTAATACATTTCTATAAATTAAAAACTTTATAGTCTTCTCATTTGCATCTTTAACAATACTAATGCAAAAACCTTATATTCCACAATTTACAAATATAGAAGAAAGGTATATGAGTTATGCTTATTAAGATTTTAGGACTTTCCTGCTCATAAGATATGAAAAATCATAAAGATAAGAAAAAAAACCCTAATAGTTGAGAGAAATAATATAAAATTTTAAAAACTAGTACTATTGTAGCCCACTTGGGTGTCTATGAGTATTAATACAATTATCTCAATGTTAAAAATATAACTGACAAAATGAAACTTTGATCACCTAGATGCTTAAAATTATAGGAATATCGTACACACTAAGTAATTATACTGAATAAAAGTTTGAATTTTAAAATAAATTAATGTTTTCAAGTCACGCATCACAAATTATGAATTCTTGTCATCTCTCCCTCACCATCACGTTAAACCTCTTTTGAACAATGTGAGGGAAGCTAACAGGTAAAGCCACATAAAACAACCAGTGTTCAATCTTTTGTGCCTACAATGGAAACCCACCCCAAATGGCTCGACCTAATGGAGCAAACAGTTTATGGCCACCACAAATAGTATAATTATGTAAAATACAGTTATCAGCTATGTGCAGAAATGGGAAAAAAAAGTCTAGTTTTATCTTTTATTTCATAACCATACATCTGTTTTCTTGAATTTTTTATTTATATAGATTATTTATCATTAATCTGCCTACTTGAATAATATTACAGAATATCACATATTCAGTGTAGGTAGGATCCAGTAAGAAAATTATTTATGTTTGATGTGTATTTTTCTTATAGTTCATATATTATATATTACATTAAAACTGCCATATATTAATAAACCATAACACTTAAGATCTTTTCACTTGGCAAAAACATGGATACTTGTTTTAATCTCAAAATTTAGATAATTATAGATGATTATTATAAACAAATAGAAATATAAGTAATTTAAAGTATTTTAAACCAAAATATGTTTCAGAAATTTTAATAGCATAATCTTTATATGATATTTATATATACACATATGCATACATAAATACATGTATTAAGTACATTAATTATACTTTATATGTAAGTACATGACTGATAGTAATATTTTTATAATTCATATGAATCTGTGATCAACTCGTTAAAACAGGAATTAGCCCTGATCAGCCTATTCCCTAAATGCATTGCTGGTGTTGGGGAAGAAATATTCTTACTATAACTGGAAGTTTGTACCTCTTAATCCCCTCCACCCACTGCCAACCCCTCTCCACTCTGATAACCACTAGTTTGTTTCCTGTATAGATCTCCACTCTGATAACCACTAGTTTGTTTCCTGTATAGATGAGTCTGTTCTGTTTCGTTTTGTTTGTTCACTTGTTTTATTTTTAAATTCCACGTATAGGTGAAACCATATGGTATCTGTCTTTCTCTGTCTGACTTATTTCTTTTAGCACAATACTCTCAAAGCCCATCCATGTGGTTGCTAATAGCAAGATCTCATTCATTTTTATGGCTGAGTAATAGCCCATTGTTTATATATACAGCATCTTCTTTATCCATTCATCTGTTCATAGATACTTAGGTTGCTTCCATATCTTGGCTATTGTAAACAATGCTGCAGTAAGCATAGAAATGCATATATACTTTCATATTAGTGTTTTCATTTTCTTTGGGTAAATATCCAGAAGTAGAATTGTTGAATTATGTACTATTTCTATTTTTAATTTTTTGAGGAACCTCCATACAATTTTCTATAGTTGCTACACAAATTTACATTCCCACCAACAGTGAATAAGGGTTTCCCCACCCCACATCTTCACCAGCACTTGTTATTTCTTATCATTTTGATACTAGCCATTCTGTCAGATGTAAGGTGGTATCTCATTGTGGTTTCCATTTGCATTACCCCAATGATTAGTGATGTTGAGTCTCTTTTCATATGTTAGCCTTCTGAATGTCTTTGGCTATTGAGGTCCAATTTTTTAATTGGATTGCTTATGGGTTTTTTTTATGTTAAGATGTATAAGTTCTTTATATATTTTGTATATTAACTAACCCTTTATCAGATATATCATTTGCAAATATTCTCTCATATTCAGGAGGCTGCCTGTTCATTTTGTTGATGGTTTCCTTCACTGTGCAAAAGTTTTTTATTTTTTGTGTAATCCAGTAATAGTTTATTTTTGCCTTTGTTTTCTTTGTCTGAAGAGACAGAAAATGAAGAGAAAATGTTGTTAAGGCTAACAACAAAGAGATTACTACCTATAGTTTTTTCTAGGATTTTTATGGCTTCAGGACTCATAATCAGGTCTTTAATCCATTGTGAGTTTATTTTTGTGCATGGTATAAGAACGTGGTCCAAATTCATTCTTCTACATGTGGCTGCTCAGTTTTCCCAGCACCATTTATTGAAGACTGTCTTTTCCCACCGTATATTCTTTCTTCCTTTGTTGTAGATTAATTGACCATGTCATCATGGGTTTATTTCTGGACTCTATTCTGCTCTATTGCAGATCCAGATCTTTAAGCTTCATCTCAACCTCTGGAAGTTCTGTAGTTGAATGAGTTCTGAAAACATACCATTGAATATATAAGGAAGCCACATGATTACAAAATTAATGTTTTATGTATTTAATAAACTCCAGGTGCTGGGTACTCTTACTACTGAAATATTTGTATCAACAGTATCTACTACTTTTATTCTTACATAAGTGTATTTTCTGATAGGGATAGCATTTTTTTCATTAGAGTCATCAGTGGACTTCTCAAAATATCCGAAGTGCCAACAAAGGATCTGTGACTTAGTTTTAGGAATAAAGTGTTACTGAAAGCACAATTAAAAGTTAAAATATTTATTCAAGTCCAGAAAACTGAGGGATATCAGCAAAAAAGTACAGCAAAAAGGGTATCTATCCAGTAATGGCTAAGGGAAGGGAAGGTTAGAATGGTAGAAAAGAGAACCAGTGGTCTTCACAAAAAGAGAGAGAGGGAGAGAGAGAGAGAGAGAGAGAGAGAAATGAGGTTGGTAGAAACGAATCAAAAGTGTAAATGCTAAAGGAAAGATATGTACCAAGAATGAATATTTCTGTTGGTTATAGGAAATGCTTTACATTTGCCATAACAGCTATAGTGGAATGATAAGAATAAAATCTGATTATAATATTCAAGAGAGAAGGGAGTTGAGGAAATGGAGATGGTGATTCCAAACTATTACTATTAATCAAATTCAAGTGGTTGATTTATTTCCCAAACTTCCTGCTCTGGAGTGGCTCACCAGTGACATAGAGTGGTGCAGTGAGGAGGTTTGTGACTCTGCAGGGTGCAGAGGCCCATTCAGTGTTTCTTGAAATAGTCTCTTGCCTTTATTTCATTGATCTACAGTCTCTTGGTCCTCCTCGTATTTCCCCTGCCACTTCAGTGTCTGCTTTGTAGGTTAATCCTCCCTAAAGTTAGAATCACCCAGACTTAGATCTAGGCCTTTCTTTCTCATTTTATATGCTTTCTAGATAATATGTACACATACAAACACACAGGTTCAGTTGTCTTCCCCATTTCTGGCCCAATACAGGAAGCTGATAAATGTGTTAAATCAGTGAAATAATTATTTTACTAATCAACGCAGTTGCTTTTTCATGATTTTTTTAGTACAACTATTTTGAGACTATCTGGATTTTTAATGTATATTTTTAATTGAAATTTATAATTTAGGTAATTCAAATACTGGCATGCTGGCCTATTGAATCTTTAGAGATGACCTGTTTTTCTTATTTCAATATGACATTACATTTAGTATTTCCAGTTCAACTAAAGTGATTTCACATTTCTTACCTAAAGTTTACCTGTTTGTTTTTTATATGCCAGGTGGTTGTGAGAGCTTTGATAAAAACAACTTTACCTGCTTTGAATGTGTTTCTGGTCTGCTTAATGATCTGGCTGGCTTTTAGCATCATAGGAGTGTACTTATTTGCTGGCACGTTCTATGAATGCATTGACCCAACAAGTGGAGAAAGGTTTCCTATATCTGAAGTCATGAATAAGAGTCAGTGTGAAAGCCTTATGTTTAATGAATCCATGCAATGGGAGAATGCAAAACTGAACTTTGATAATGTTGGAAATGGTTTCCTTTCACTGCTTCAAGTAGTAAGTTCACTTTTGATGTTTTTTACTTTTTATCAGTGTTTTTAGATGTCCGTGCATATTATAGGTGGACATAATGTGGACAAATGTGAATGGACAAAATGTGAATGATTACTAGAGTTGGTTATAACATATTTTAGCAATTATTTAAAATACATGTTATGCAACATACTACACTAGGCTCATTTGGAAAGATGAAAGTGAAATGCAGACCCTGCTTTCCTGGGAGAAGGAAGTGAAGATGAAGGTAGGACTGACGGGAGAGATGGCAGGTACTGGCCATCACTGATAAGGTAATAGGGTCACAATTTTTGGTACAACTAAAGTTACTACTGTTTTGTTTCTACTGAGTGCTATGAGGAATGGCTACTCAGTCACCCACCATCTAACAGAAGTGAGGAGATAAATCATTCATTCTTGTCTTACCACCCCAATAGAAAAGCACATAAATAGCAGTTACCACTAACAATGACACTTGGGCAATGTGTATTTATTTATCATTTATCTATCTACCTCTCTCTCTCTCTTTCTATTTATACTATCTTACAACATTTTGTTATCAACTACAGTAAAACTACTACAATTAAGCTAAGTAAAAATAAACAGTTGTTAAATAGTTGTTAACAGATAATAGAAATGCAACAATGAAAATGATAAAGGTCTCAATTACAGGGTATATTGAAATGTGGTCAGCCTTAGTAATCAAATGTTTTACTGTATTAATAACAAATTGAGTTTCACTTTTTATTTGAAACAAAGCTTAAGATTTCCATAAGAATTAAATACATGCCATTTTTACAGGCAACATTTAATGGATGGATCACCATTATGAATTCAGCAGTTGATTCTACTGGTGTAAGTATAATATAATCTTACAGCCATTGTTAAAATTCAAGAAAAGTTATTTTTACAATTCAAGAAGAGGGTACCAACAATAATAGAATAGATAACATGATCAAAGTGAATGCTTATAGTAGACAGAAATTAAATACATTTCAAATTGAACATTTCACAGAAAACGAAATCCTTCCAGGATTATGTACAGTGGTTGAACCCCAATAAGCCCATTTGAAGGATTATCAGACTTCATAACAATGGTTAAACCAATGCAATAAATTTTAAAATCCAAATAAACAAAGCTATGATATCCTTTCACTAACGAGCAAAGAGAAAATGTTACTTCTGTAGAATTGTTGGATTTTCCTGTTGTAAATTGTTTTATAAATCTTATGTTTTAAAGCGTTAGTATCAATATTTTGCTTATTTTTCACTTTTTAATTTATTTTTATTTTTAAAGACTTTACTTTTTAGAGCAGTTTTAGGTTTACAACAAAATTGAGAGGAAAGCATAGAGATTTCCCCTATACCCACTTGACCCCACACATGCATAGCCTATTATTGATATCACTTACCAGAATGGTACATTTTTACCCAGGATGAACCTACATTGACAGATCATACTCTCCTAAAGTCCAGAGTTTATTTGAGGGTTCACTTGGTGTTGTACATTATATGGGTTTGAACAATTGTGTAATGACTGACATGTAACTATCATTACAATATCATACAGAATATTTTCACTGCCCTAAAAATCCACTATGCCCTGTCTTATTTTGATTATTTTTTAACTTAACTTTTAGGTAAATAAGCAACCTAATTTTGAAGACAACATCTACATGTCTTGTTACTTTATCAGCTTTATTGTTATTGGATTATTTCTTCCTTTGAGTATGCTGATCGGTGTTATTATTGCTAATTTCAACAAGCATAAAATAAAGATAAGTATAAATATTCTTTGTTCATTAATACCTAAGAAAACACATTTATAAGAATGTCCTGTTTCAAATAATTGGTTTTGGATTCAGCTTAATGTAATTTTTACTTGGTGCTTATCTATTAAAAAAATTTGATGTTCCTGCATATTGATAAATATTGCTAAAATGTTCATCTTTACATTGTTTTATATATTGAAATATAAACAAACAAGTTAAAAGGTTAAAAATTGCAGGTGTTTCTATATATATATATATATATATATATATATATATATATATATATATATATATATATATATATATATGTTTGCAAATAATGACATGCTGACCAACAAGTAATATTGTGGTACATCTGCACAAATAGGTGAAGAAGTTCAAGAAAAATAAGCTACACTTTTTTACTCTCTGATATGTTCAAAGCCTTCATAGTCATATCTAGCATAGACATCTTTGTCAGTGCAGTAGCTTTTTCTGCTAGAAGTAGGGGGTATCCTAAATCCTAACCCCATGTCCTAAATAGCAGTGCTTGAAATCAGTAAGGGACAATTCAGAGACAGAATTGAAAAACCCATTTGATCCCACCTCCACACAAAGGCCTTCAAGGCTTCTGCAAATGCAAAGGCCTCAAAAGTCATTTAAATCTGCTTATTTTAACCACAGAGACCTACTTTCTAGAGGTATAGGAAAGCCTTCTAAAAAATCAAAAGAATAGTCTAGTTTTGAAATTCTGTTTTCAGCCATGTCATCAAAGTTTAGTCATGTGCAGCATCTGATAAACTGCTCTCAGCCTCCACTAATCAAATGGGATTAGAAGATCAGTGATCAAATATCCATTTGACTGGAAGCTTCAGCTTCTTGGGATCAATCCAGTGGGATAACATTCCAGGATTTGCTCCTGGGCTTCAAACCGGTGACCCCTATCAAATTTAAGTAACTAAGTCCTCACTTAGGGCAGTAACAATTCCTAATTTCTAGATTAACACACTAACCATTTACTTCTTATTCACTTTATATATTTTGTATAAGATACTTAGTACTAGGAACACAAAGATGAAAAGCTCTAAAAGGTACTATGAAGAAGTAAACACAAAGTGCTGTTGGATTAATAGTATAAAAAATATCTTTTGAAAGTATTATTTAGTAAATTAATATATGAACTTATAAAAACACATAAATGCCCAATTATATTTTTTCCTGTTATTAGAAGATACAAACCAATTTTTCCTTAACTTTTGAGTTCAGTTTTTCTTGACAAACTTTTCCATTTATCCCCCACTGTTTCTCCTTTGTCTCTGCTTAACATGAGGTAGGCCTCAGTAGACTGAAAAGTTAAAAAAGAGTAGACTACCCACAGGAAAGTGCACCAAAAGATCATTGATATCGGTCATTACCATATATTCTACATGTGCTCGGTATGGATTTGTGTGCAGAAATCAGACATGGTTAAATGTGATTTAGTTCATTGCCTTTAAGACCTTTATAAAAGGTTAAATCAGTAATTAACAAGCTTTCCAAAATGTACTATTGACAAAAGGTGAAATTTAGATTCATGTGATTTTAATATCTTTTTCTTTCATTTCTTTACCAGGGAGGCTCAAATATCTTTATAACAGTGAAACAGAAGAGACAATACCATGCACTGAGGGGGCTGTTGCATGAGGACTCTCAAAAAATAATACGTCGCCCAAGAGTAAGAAAACATCTAGATTTGTTTTCAAAGCTTCGTAAAAAGTTTATTTCATACATTCTCTTTTTAAAATGAATATGTGTTTTTAAAATTCTTCACAAATGCAGGGTGCCTGGGTGGCTCAGTCAGTTAAGTGTCTGACTTTGGTTCAGGTCATGATCTTGTGGTTCATGGGTTCAAGCCCCAGGTGGGGCTCTGTGCCTACTTCTGTTTCTGTTTCTCTCCCTGCCCCTCCCCCGCTGATGCTCTGTCTCTCTCTCTCTCTCTCTCTCTTTCTCTTTCAAAAATAAATAAACATTTAAAAAAATGTTAAATTCTCCACAAATGCTTTTGACAAAATTTAAAAATATGTTCTTTAACAAGGTTTTGATGATCTTTTTGTTTGTTTTGACTATACATTAGAATTCTAGTTTGACAAAAACTTAGGTACTCAATTATTTTCCTGTTTATGCTGGGAGGTAAATTATAAATGTAAAGACTATATGTGTATGTATATATCCTACTAATAAGGCTATTACACCCACCTTTTTTTTTTTTTTTACACACAGAACAAGTTCCAAAGATTCATGTTTGACTTGGTAACAAGCCAAGTTTTTAATGTCTTCATTATGGTTCTTATCTGTTTCCAAGCAATGACCATTATGATACAAAGTGATGAACAGAGTTCAGAAATGGACACTGCTCTCTACTGGATTACCTTATTTCTTGTTATGGTATACACGGGAGAATGTGTACTGAAGCTCATCTCTTTTCGTTGTAACTATTTCACCATGGGATGGAACATTTTTGATTTTATGGTGGTTATTTTCTCTATTACAGGTAAGAGTTTGTTTAGTTAGATTTTCTTTTATAGTAATACTAATTCAGGCAAGTTCTTATACTAAATATGTCCCAAGATATAGTCTTTTAGTAGGCAAAACAGATAGAGACCCTTTTTATTCCAATAGTAATGGCTTGTATTTTTACATTCATACATGTACACATGACAGCTATAAGATACTAAAAAATACTTGTTGAATTAATACATAGACTTCACTTAAGAGGTTACCAGGTAAATGCTTAATTACCCCTTCAGTATATCACATACATTATTTTTCTAGGATGTGTCTAGAAGGAGATTTATGTCTTAACATGATATAACCTTTCAAGTTCCCTATTTTTTTTTTTTAATCTCCAAAACTGTTTACAACTTTCACAATACTAGAGTGTTAGGCGTTAATGAATTTGTCACCAGTTTTCTCTTACTTTGGGGATCTCAGTCTTTTATTTAACAATTATATTTGAATAGATATTATGCTATACCCAAAGAATTCAGTAGTAAATAAGGAAGGCATAATCCCTGTAGGCACACAGTTTACAATGTAGTAAGGATTCAGGTGATTAAACAGTACATATTTAATTTTGTGCTATTAAGGTTATGATAAGGAAAGAAGCACGTGGTGTTACAGCAGCACAAGAAAGGGGAGTACCTATCAATAAGTAGAGGTCAGAGGTCAAACTTCCTGGATGAAGCAAAATCTAAATAGAGACATATTGAATAGGGGTAGACAAGTAAAGATTCTAGGATAAAAATGTTTTAAGCAGGGAAAAGTTTGTTTCTTGTCTGCCTCCCCATAAGATACGTACTGGAATATAAGCTCCATGAGAGACAATATTTAGATATTTATTGTGTCAAGCACTATTCTATACAGTCACTAGTGAAAAGGTAGACAAACTATTTGCTCAATTGTGATTCCAGAAAATTCAGCTTATTCATTTGGTAATAGAAGCAGTTCAACTATTGATAGGTACAAGAAGCTTGAAAGAAAGGAAAGAATGGGCCTTTGGGATTAAAGTCAGAGCTACTGAATCAGCTATCTCAAAGGAGAGGAAATCACAGTCAGAGAGAAAGCTGTTTGAATATGAAATCTCAGAAGGCGAAATATCCTGGGTCCAGAATGTAGCTATAGCTGCATGTGACTAAAGTAAAGTGATGGAGATTACAGTTAAGAAAGTCAAAGACCGAGAGACTGGCCTTTCAATGAATTGTGGATGGTAAGTGTTGGGGTGGAAAGGGTGACAGTGAGCCAAGTACTAAAGTCTCCAATGAATATGAATAAGGGGGGAGGAATATCATAGAACCAAGAAATGGTCGGCAATAGTATCATAGTTCATTGGCATGATCCACAATGTGTCAGGACAGAAATTTCTTTTTTTTTTCTTTATAAAATTGACTTGAAGCATCTGGAAATCACATTGGAAAAAAATGAAAGATGCTTAGTCATTCCATTTTTCTACTCTGAGAAATATGGAGTGGGGAAGAAAGAGCTCTTTACACTTGAGAACATTCCAGGAGAGATACTGTCTTCAAGATAGAGTCAGATTTTAGATAAGAAAGGAGGTGAACAAAATCTAAGATGAGGATGTAGAAAAAATTGTCTACAATTAAATGGGGATACCTCTGGCAAAATGGAGGAATTTGGAAGATTGTAAGGAAAAATGAAAATCTGAGTCAGAGCAGAAGATTCACTAATACACTGTGGAAATGAAGGTATAGATAAGGTAGAATGTCAGAGAGAAGGTTATGGACAGTGATCAAGTTGAATGGAAATATGAGACGTAATCATTCCAGATTTAACAAATATACCGTATCATTTAGAAACTTCATGGAATTCTCCCCTCCTCATCTTCTCAACTCAAAATGAACCACAGTCTCTCCAGTACTTGCAAAGGACATCCCTTATACTTTTATGGTAATTGTAATTTTATAGTTCTAGCTCTCACTCCCTCATCTACCCACAACTGCTACAAAAATAGTTCTAGGCCAAGACTCATTTATTTAATTCAATTTAAAGCTGCTAAGAACCCAAAGACTATTTATGAAATAAATAAATTATAATCTGTGAATCACTGAATGCCAGACATTTTTGTAATTATATTTATCAACTAGGTCTTTCTGCCTTGCATTATAATTACTTTAAATGTCTACCTCTACTCTCTAGAATATAAGGCCTTTGAGGACAGAAGTCAGGTCATTCATCTTTGCATTTTGCATTGACACCTTTATACTAGATGTCCAATAAAGGCTGGATTGAGCTAAATTTATTTATCCAACTGCAATCAGAAAAAAAAGAATATGACTACTAGTTTGTATTATGGAATCATGCCATCTGTGATTCCAGAATTAGTTGATCTATAATGGCATAATAAGATGATGATTCAAATAATTATCTTCCAAATTTTGCTAGATACCCTGAAAATTGCCACAATGCGTATTTGGCTAATCCCCACTTTCAATATATTCTGTTATATGGGAAGGATTAATAAAATGATCTTAACATATTGAAAAAATGGAATGTAAAATAATTTATATTCCTCTGAATACAATCATATTTAAATATTTTTATTACCTGTTTTATCTTCTCCCACACCAAGGACTATTTCTGCCTCTGATGGTAGGATACTACCTTGTGCCTCCTTCTGTTGTGCAACTGATACTACTCTCACGGATCATCCACATCCTACGTCCTGGGAAAGGACCAAAGGTGTTCCGTGACCTGCTACTTCCTTTGATGCTATCTTTCCCAGCATTGTTGAACATCAGTCTTCTCATCTTTCTGGTCATGTTTGTCTACGCCATCTTTGGAATGTACAATTTTGCCTATGTTAAAAAGGAATTTGGAATTAATGATGTGGCCAACTTTGAAACCTTTGGCAGCAGTATGCTCTGTCTTTTCCAAGTTACAATATTTGCTGGCTGGGATGGGATGCTCAATGCAATTTTCAACAGTAAATGGTCAGACTGTGATCCTGATAAAATTAACCCTGGGACTCAGGTTAGAGGAGATTGTGGTAATCCCTTTGTTGGGATTATTTATTTTGTCAGTTACATCTTCATATCATGGATGATCATTGTAAACATGTACATTATTGCTGTCATGGAATTTTTAAATATTGCTTCTAAGAAAAAAGCCAAGACATTAAGTGAAGATGATTTTAAGAAATTCTTTCAGGTATGGAAGAGGTTTGACCCTGATAGGACCCAGTACATAGACTCTAGCAAGCTTTCAGATCTTGCAGCTGCTCTTGACCCTCCTCTTTTTATGGCAAAACCAAACAAGGGCCAGCTCGTTGCCATGGATCTTCCCATGGCTGCTGGGGACAGAATTCATTGCCTTGACATCTTACTTGCTTTAACTAAACGGGTTATGGGTACAGATGTGAGGATGGAGAAAGTTATTTCAGAGATGGAATCAGGGTTTGCATTAGCCAACCCTTTTAAGATCATGTATGAACCAATTACAACTACTCTGAAACGAAAACAAGAGGCAGTCTCAGCAACCATAATCCAGCGTGCTTATAAAAATTACCGCTTGAGGCGAAATGACAAAAATACATCAGACATTCATATGATAGATGATGACAAGGAAGTTCAAGCTACCACAGAAAATGCTTATTTTGACAAAGCTGAAGAAAAGTTAACTATTCAAAGCCAAATCTAATCCCACTTGCCACCTTTTTTCACCTTTTTCACATATTCTAAAAATGTTAACAGTTTGAATCAGAAATAAAAATGAAGATCAGAGAAGTAAAGATTTTACTTAATAATCAATTGTTTACAACCCATGGAAGTTAAGCTTGTGCTCACAAGACTCCATGTCAAGTTGACTTTCACCTTTGTATACTGAGTCTAACCAAGATAAGCCCTTAGAATCACTTTAGTGAGTTAAATGGGTTAAATTTGCCATTTGATGATCCAATGCTTGTTTTCTCTATCTGGCTTTTATGGTGTGTGTTTCATCTAGAGGACTGAGGAAGTGATGGTAGAAATGAGTAGCTTTCTTGTATACTTTATGTCTACTTTAACTTGATGGGATTCAAATCATCATTAAGAGGACTTAGTTATAAATAAACAATTACTTTCTTAATGTCGGGTAGTGTTAATAAAAACACAGTGCTGCAAGCTGTTAAATCATAAACTTGCCAGACAGATGTCAACTGGGGAAGAGAAAGGACAGGTCTTAGAAAGTGCCTTTGAGATCAACCACAGATAGTCTTGGGCTGATTCAAGCCACTTTGGTTAACTGGAGCCTTGGTTTTTGTTTTTGTTTTTGTTTTTGTTTTTGTTTTTGTTTTTGTTTTTCCTTCCTTCCTTCCTTCCTTCCTTCCTTCCTTCCTTCCTTCCTTCCTCTCTTTCTTTCTTTCTTTCTTTCTTTCTTTCTTTCTTTCTTTCGGTACTAGGAATTAATATTGCTTAATTGTTTTTGGATTCCTGGTTTTTCATCTTTTTGGCTACTTCTACCTAAGCTCTAGTTCTTCAACAGAATGGATTCATAGAATAAGAAGTGCAAAGGGAACTATAGTTATGGCCTACATTTTTCTCATTTTTTTCTCATTTATGTTTTTTAAAAAGTATACATTTACTAAAACGATACGATATAGAAACTGTTAGTAGATTCATATCTGTCATAACACTGATGTATTTTTACCATTTAGCCATAATGCAACATTGAGTAGTAAGAGCTGGCAAATGAAAGTCATAATATGAATTCAAAGAGTCGGGGTTACCATTATGTGTAAGGATTTTTGCAGTGTCTTGATCTTTAATTGGGAAACTGTGGCCACTTTGAAATACTTTTCACTGACTTTATGGTTCTCTATAACTTAGAGAAAGACAGCAATCACTGAAACTGTGAGGACTCTGAATAGATTAAAGTGTAAGTTTGTTGTTGGTGGTGTTGTATAACATTAGCGTATGCAGATTAGTTTTTACTTTGTCATTTATCTTTCCAAGTTTTTTTTTTTTTGCTGTTTTTAATCTTATCACACATTCTGTAAAATGTTTTTATATTTGAAAAGCTTGAAAATCCTAAGTATTAATTTTCACAGTTGAAATTATCTTTAAAAGATAGACACAAATAGTTGGTCTTTGACATAATCATAAAAATGCAGCCACTCATATCCATGTAGTTCAAGATTCTGATATTTGTTCCATTTGTATTAAGATTGATTACAGTGTACCCACAAAATCCCAAAGGATTCAGAAATAAAATATGCATACTGTTGATGTAAGTGACAAACTTTAAATATGTTGTATGACATTCGATATCACTTAAATATCAGTAATTGTATTTTATTATGAATGCATGATCTTGAGCCTTAACTTTATAATCTATTTCTGCTCCTCAGAAATGTATTAACTTGACCAAGATGCCTTTGGAGGAACCCTTAAGTAAATGTAATTTCAGGGTTCTCTTTCTTTCTAGAAGTGTTCCTTCCCTTTGTCCTCTGCTCTTCATCATCGGATGGTGACTAGTGAGGAATTAGCATTAACTTGGTGACATGGTGACAGCTGGTGCTTTATCTAAATTTCTTAGTTTTCTATTCCTTGGAAATGCTTTATGTAAAAACTGCTTCAGATATTTAAGCTGAATCTTAATTTGCTTCTGTAAATGCAAGACCATTAGTTGATTTTGGTTTGAAAATTAGATCTTTTACTTGTAAACCATGTTTGCTACTAACCTTCCAAAAATTGTGTAAAGAATTATTTTTTAAATAAGTCTTACAATATATTCTACTTTTTAGATAATATACAAAATAATAAATACAACATGTTAACCACACTAAACTTTGTTTTTTTTCTCTGGTAAGTCAGGTTGTCTAGTGTGTATAACACCAGCTTTTAAAATGAGCCTAACATTAAAGCTTATTCATTTAGGTTCAAAATTTAAAACTGGCAGAACTTGTGCTTCTTTTGGATTCACAAAAATTTGTAAAATAAATTTTATTAAGCTTAGCAGAGACCTTTACACATTGACATTCCTCCTGTCAAAGTCATAAAATAAGTCAGATATATCTCAGTATTAACTAGAATTTTCTTTATGGAGGATAATGCTGAAATTAAATTGCTTAGTGTGCTATGATTTATCAATGTGTGCTTCTTTAAACTTTTCTTTCTGCTTCCTTAATAAATATAATGCACTTTAACATGATTTTAAAGATACTGGAAATAGCTACTACCATATATTGAGCAGACTATTTTATGCCCAGCTTGTGCTAAGTATTTATCATGCACGAACTGAGCATTCACAATAACTCATTAAGTAATAATTTTCTTTTTATAGATAAACAAAATAGACTTAGAAGGGTTGTAAGAGCTTCTGTATGGCACAGAACTTGTAAATGACAAGCCCAGAACCCCAAACCAGGTCTAGTTTCTGAGCATTAATATGTAACCACTATGGTTAATAACTGTCTTATAATAAATGACCTAGCTATAGACAGAAGTTTAAGATGAATTAAGTTGTTGTAGAGAGATAAGGTCTCTCTCTCTCTCTCTCTCTTGCCATCTCTCTCTCTCTTCTCTCAACTTCTCTCTCTTCTGTGGTAAAGGGACAACCTCTGGAAAAATGAAAGACACAAGAGATAAAACTACTATAAAAGTGTTTTCATTCAACATTTATTATATGCTAGATATTAGAGGTAAGCCCAGAGTCTAGATAGATATTCATATGTATGTACATACATACAAAGACAAATATGAGACTAGAGAACTTACTAGAAGGGGAAAGCATAACTACACAGCTAATTATAATATATGGTAATTTTTATACTATTGTAAATTGCAATATGTATTCAGGAAATAATGGTGGGTTCTTACTTAGTAAAGATGAGTTAGTAAAGTGGGCCCCTAATGAAAAAGAAAGATTTTATCAATTAGAGAAGAAGGTAACTGTAACCAGCACAGACATCTTTAAGAAAAGGAGTCCATTGGGGAGCCTGGGTGGCTCAGTCAGTTGAGTGTCAGACTTCAGCTCAGGTCATGATCTCGCGGTCTGTGAGTTCAAGCCCCACTTCAGGCTCTGTGCTGATTCAAAATCTGAATCTGGATAGAACATTGGAAGAGAATTATCTGGGCATCTTGATCCCTTGCCAGACAGGCTTTATTTTATCCTTTGGTTCTTTTTTGTTTGTTTGTTTGCTTTAATTTTTGTGTTAATGTTTATTTACTTTTGAGAGAGAGAGACAGAGAGAGACAGAGCATGAGCTGGGCAGGGGTCGAGAGAGAGGGAGACACAAGCTCCAGGCTCTGAGCTGTCAGCACAGAGCCAGACACTGGGCCCAAACCCACAAACCATGAGATCATGACCTGAGCTGAAGTCGGACACTTAACCTATGAGCCACTCAAGTGCCCCTTGTCCTTTGGTTCTTGAACTCTCTCCTCAGCTGTTCTTTCCATATACTCCAGGTCCACATTCTCAATTCTAGCAGTCAATGAAGAGCTCCAGTGAATGACTGAGTCTTTACTCTCGAGGTGGGGATTTTCATCTTTCATGTTAGAGAATCTAATACTGTCAGGGTGGGACACTTACTCATCTCCTCGTCTGTAAGTGAACCTCTTATCTTCATAGACTCCAAAATCACATATGAGCTCAAAGGATTTTCTTTCAATTCCAGCTAGTTTATTAACCACCCAGGTGGCACAATACCCCTAGTCCTGGATTCTAGTCTAGATCACATGAGATTAACTTCTTCAAATGATCCAGGAGTTCAGACTCCCCAATCATGCAAAATTTCATCATTCTCTCCATCTTTTCTCCCTCCCATTTTCCTTTCAGAACATTCTGCTGAGCACCCCTAGGTATTGGACACAACAATTTAGAGATAAACAAGATTCTCTTTATCCTTAAAAGAATAATAATCAGAGCTTTCCAGAAAAACAAAACTAACAGCATGCACAGGTATCACCCACTATCCAAAAGTAGAGTGTTCCTATGAAACCTTTTATAAGCTTACATGAACTAAAGAAACAACTACCACTAATTTTTATGAAAAAAAATTATGATTCCCAAAACTAAAAAATAACCTCTTAGGCTTTTATGACACCTTAGGACACAACTGGCTAATGGATACATAAAATATATCAAGACAAAGAAAGTATGGATACTCACAAACACAGTTGAAAGGTATGGTGGTTTGATGGTTTGATGCTGAGATGCTGAATGTAGTTCTGGGGAAGGAGCTCAGTGGGGCCGCTCTCACTGCCTGGATGACAAATGCTATTTTCACTTTTATGTTAATTTTTTCTTTTCTTTTTTAATAAAAGTGAAAATCCCATTTGGATTTCTTGTGGTTGGCAAACACATGTACTGACGTAGGTCTTTTGTAAAAGCAAAGTGATGCAAATCAAACTTTCGAAAAGTGAGGGATACCTGTATATAGATTTATAGGAGGAGATTTATTATTATGAGAAATGGTTCACATGATTACAAGAAGTTGAGGATGTGACACTATACCATGTGCAAACAGAAGAATCAGGAAAGTCAGTGGTATAATTCAGTCCAAATCCTAAGGCTTGAGAACCAAGAGAGCATGGTGTAGCTCTTGGTCCAAGGCCAAGGCCAAAGAATGTGGAGAGAGCACTGGTGTTTAAGACCTGGAATCAGTCTTAAGACCCAAGAACCAGAAACTTCAATGTCTAAGGGCAGGAAAAGATAAATGT